GATTTGGATATCCCACTGAATACTTCACCATCCCCAGTACATTTCTCATTGGGGATGGTCCCGCGGGGCTCTCACGATGGAAAGGAAACACAAGTTTGTCCTGAGGCACGCAGAGGATCACATGAAGGACACCAGAGGTGTCATCAGGGAGGTCATCTCAGAGAGTACGCACAGCCTTAAGCATGCTAGTTTGCTCGATTTGTCGACGGGCCTGGTCGAACCGAAGGCCCCCACCAAGCGTTTGACAGAACATTTGGGTTCGACGTTCGGCGCTGTAGAGCATTTCGCTGCATGGAAGACTCGTTTTAACGACGTTGCCTGGATCGGCGATGTCGTTGCTCTGAAGCAGCTGTCAGCAGGCTGGATCATCGCCTGAGTGCTGTTTTCGGTAGCAGCTCGGGGGTTGCATATGCCGCAGCGCATCCCTTCAAATGCTCGTCCAAGTCCAGGTGGTCTAGCACGTGGGAGAAACTTGAAGCTCCTATGATGGCAGGTCTAGATGACTTCCTTGCGCCTCTCATCCACTACGGCAGCGATGCTAACCTCACTAGTTTGCATCCTTTGTCGCGTGTGCAGTGATTGTTGCCCGTTGGGTATGCGAGCGATTCACTTGCCACCTCTGCAGAAAACTGGGGAGACAGGGAGGAGCGAGGGGGCAAACTAAGGAGGGACAGCAGGGAGGCAAACGATTGAGAGAGAGAGAGAGAGAGAGAGAGAGAGAGAGACGACGACGACGACGACGACGACGACGACGACGACGACGACGACGACGACGACGACGACGGCGACGGAACAGAGGGAGAGGAACGATAGGAGGGGATGAGGAAAAATAGTGGGAGGACAAAGGAACAGAACTGGGGAGAGAGACGAACGAAGAGAGCCGACAGGGAGCGGGGGGGCCGAGTTAGGGAGAGAACGATTGCGAGCAGTGGCACGAACAACGACACACTCCCGACGAATCAGGGCCGTCTGGGCATTCTGATACTCGCAGTGCCCATCGGTTGCCGCGCTCGGCTCTACAGGCTTCTGCCACATCCGCCGATGATGTCCCGATGGTGCCCCGATGAAGTCCCGACGGTGTCTCGATGGTGTCTCGATGACTCAGCGTTCGTCTCCATGCGAAGCCGGCGGACGGATGGCCGCCGACGGGCCAACATCATTGAAGCCGCTATACCTCTGGGCCTGAGGATAGCTGTGTTCCCTGGCCGCCAGTTTCCCTTGAAGTACTCTGCGAGATTCTTGAGCTCACGTTCAGTAGCCCATGTGAATTAGCCTTGCTAACTGACCTGCGGCCCGTGCATAACCGATTTTTTGCGGGATGGGTAAGCGTGTCTTTTTCGTGAGCAGGGCCCGAACGGTGATCAATAAAGCAGTGACAAGCACGCCTGCACCAGACCGCCTGGCAAATCCCAGGCGCCAGCGCATGGTGCAACTCCAAAAAACGTCGCTCGCATCGAGAAATAATCAATACGCATTCTTGCGCAGGGCCGTCTGGCAAGCATAGCGGAGAGCAAAATGAATGCGAGCAAAAGTGGGAATCAGATTCGCGCATGGCTTGTCTTTGCTCTGCCGTTGCAGGGAAAGCCGACGAATACAAATATTGAATGCGCATGCGCCCTCTCCCCTCACACAACGTTCAGGTTTCTGCCTGCCCGCCAGAACGCCGCTGCTTTCGGCGATGGGCCTCGCTGTCGCCAAGAAGGAGGGGGGACAGGAGGGCGAGGAGGACGCAAGCGTCGGACGCCGCCTCTTCTGCGCAGCGTGGCCCATCCTAAATCGTCAAGAGCCGTCAGAGGAAATTCTTTGCTCCGCGACGCGAGGGCGTCGGGGCAGGAGAGGCGCAAGGCGCGCGCCTTCCTTGGCGGACCCGGGGGCGGTCCAGGACCGCGCCACGGCGCGTGGGCATCGCGGCCCGAGGATGCGCTGCCAGCAAGGGCCGCGCGAATTGCTCAACTAATACCGCCGCTGCACGGGCAACGTCGTCGTCGTCGTCGACGTCCACGTCGTCGTCGTTGTCGCCGCTGGAAGCTCTATGCCCTCCCTTCCTTCCCCCCCCCCCTTGCGCCCGCCTTCCGTGGCCCCAGCACTCGCCCACCTCTGCAAGGACTGGCCATCGGGGCGCAGCGTGCGAGGCAGGTCCGCGTCCGCCGAGAGCCAGAGCCGAGCGGGACCCGAACCGAACCTGCGCACGAACCTACCAAGAGATTACCGATCCCAAGACGTTTCTTACCTGTTCCCAGACAGACATCAAGACAATCATACATACATACATACAGAACATAGAAGTCATAACATGGACCGCACACCATACATCGCACCCATCATTGAACTTCAAACACATAAGAAGCGAGGGGTCTTCGGTTGAACAGCCTGTAAATCGGGCGACGACTGCGGAAAAAAACAACTATAGGTCTGAATTCATCGCGTACAAGATCTTAAATCTTGTTGCGATGGAGTGCTGCATGCTGCGACGGGGTTCTCGCCGTCGCAACGAAGCACTAAATCGCTACCCTTGAGGCCTGGGAGGAGGAGCATGAGATAGCCGAACGACTGCGTGAGGCAGCCGACGGACTGCGATTCCCGCTTGACCTAGGCGATGCTCCGATCCCGCTTGACCTAGGCGATACTCCGGTCGATCCACCACGTGACAAGCTGCGCGCCAGCGTGGGGCCGCCGCTCGGCAGAGGGTTGCGCCTTGGGGATGCCCCCAGCGCAACCCATATAATGTCCTCAGGCGTCCCGTGCTCGAGATCATTTCGGGGCACAGCCTCCAAGTCCTCTTCGGACTTCCGGTGCTGGCGGTTCCTAAGAAACATAAGGCTTGAACGCAACAACACAGAACAACGACCGCAACAGCTATACAGAACAACGACCGCACCAACTATAATGCCAATAAACAAAAAATCGATGGTCGCCGTTTTCTCCGTGTCGGCAATGAGTTGTGCCACTGCTGATGTCGTTGCTGATGTCGTTGCTGTGGTTGATGTCGTCTGGGTGGCGGTGATTAGCAGTATCTTGGGCTCTCCGTGTACGAGGACACTGGAATTTGACACGAGCGCCAGGCCCTGAGATGACATGGCGGCCAGCATGAGGCTATAAAACTCCTCAATTACCTCCAAGTTCTCTCCCGTAGTCGCGTTTACACGCGCATGCAGCTCTGTCCCTAGGTTGCATGTCAGAGGGACAGCTAAGCATGTTAGTAAGTCAATGACAACCCTTGCGGGCCATGTAGTTACATAGGGCCAATCCTCAAAAACCGCTGCCAAAGTGAACAACCCCCACGTCCACCCAAGTGGGGCCCAAACCTGGGGCCTGGACCTGGGATCCAGACCTGGGGTCCGAACCTGAAATCCAGACCTGGGGCCCACACCTGAGGTCCGGACCTGAGGTCCGGACCTGAGGTCCGGACCTGGGGCCCAAACCTGGGGCCTGGACCTGCTGAGGTCCGGACCTGGGGTCCCCGGACCTGGGGCCCGGACCTGAGGACTGACTGGACCTGATGTCCGGACCTGAGGTCTGGACCTGGGACCCAGACCCCAGACCTGGGACCCAAACCTGAGGTCCGGACCTGAGGTCCGGACCTGGGGCCCAGACCTGGGGCCCAGACCTGGGGCCTGGACCGTGGGCCCGGACCTGAGGTCCGGACCTGAGATCCGGAGGTCCGGGACCTGAGGTCCGGACCTGAGGTCCGGACCTGAGGTCCGGACCTGGGGCCCAGACCTGGGGTCCAGACCGTGGGCCCGGACCTGGGGCCGACCTGGGGTCCGGACCTGCGGTCCGGACCTGAGGTCCGGACCTAAGGTCCGGACCTGAGGTCTGGACCTGAAGTTTGGACCTGAAGTCCGGACCTGAGGTCTGGACCTGAGGTCCGGACCTGGGGCCTGGACCTGAGGTCCGGACCTGAGGTCCGGACCTGAGGTCTGGACCTGGGGTCTGGACCTGGGGCCTGGACCTGGGGCCCGGACCTGATGTCCGGACCAGAGGTCCGGACCTGAGGTCCGGACCTGAGGTCCGGACCGTGGGCCCGGACCTGGGGTCCGGACCGTGGGCCCGGACCTGAGGTCCGGACCTGAGATCCGGACCTGAGGTCTGGGACCTGAGGTTCGGACCTGGGGCCTGGACCTGAGGTCCGGACATGAGGTCCGGACCTGAGGCCCGGACCTGAGGACTGGACCTGGGGCCCGGACCTGACGTCAAGACCAGAGGTCCAGACCTGAGGTCCGGACCTGGGGCCCAAACCTGGGGCCCGGACCGTGGGTCCGGACCTGAGGTCCGGACCTGAGATCGGACCTGAGGTCCGGGACCTGAGGTCCGGACCTGGGGCCTCGACCTGAGGTCCGGACCTGAGGCCCGGACCTGAGGTCCGGACCTGAGATCCGGACCTGAGGTCCTGGACCTGAGGTCCAGACCTGCATGGGCCCGGACCTGAGGTCCGGACCTGGGGTCCGGACCTGTGGCTGCGGCGTCCGGACCTGGGGTCCGGACCTGAGGTCCAGACCTGGGGCCCCGACAGGCGATCATAGTTGGGTCGTACGCGAGATGACGCAGCGAGCTTACGCGGCGGCTTCCAGTGCGCTCGAATTACGCCCCTCCGCCGAAATCTCTTTCCACTAGCGGCCCGCTACGCTTCCCGACAACGGCACAAGAGGACCGCGTGAGCCTGAATTTCGTCGGCGCCATTGCAATATCTGCACCTGGGTTCAGCAGTGGGTCCTCCAGGGAGGGACGGGGAGAGGGACGGGGAGAGGGACAGAGAGGGGGACAGATAGAAAGCGAGAAAGAGAGAAAGAGAGAAAGAGAGAGAGAGAGAGAGAAAGAGAGAGAGAGAGGGAGAGATTGAGGATGGGAAGAGAGAGGGAGAGAGAAAAGAGAGAGAGAGAGAGATAGAGAGAAACAACAACAAGAAAGATGGCGAGAAAGAGAAAGAGAACGAGAGTGAGAGACAGAGAGGACGAGAAGCAGGGCAGCGAAGGCTCCGGAGACTCCGAGCGGGCAGGCCCTCAGAGGTCACGCCCCTCGAGACACGGCACGTCGGAGAACCACCTCGAACTCGCCGCCCACGGGGTGGCCGCCCGCGGCCCACGCCGCGCGCAGGGCGGCCGCGCCCTCGTCCCCCACGCGGTTGCAGGAGAGGTTGAGCACCTGCAGGCGCGGCAGGGCGTCCGGGGCCCGGAGGGCCTGCGCCAGCGCGGCCGCGCCCTCGTCCCCCACGCGGTTGCAGGAGAGGTTGAGCACCTGCAGGCGCGGCAGGGCGTCCGGGGCCCGGAGGGCCTGCGCCAGCGCGGCCGCGCCCTCGTCCCCCACGTCGTTGCCGGAGAGGTCGAGCGCTGCAGGCGCGGCAGGGCGTCCGGGGCCCGGAGGGCCTCCGCCAGCGCGGCCGCGCCCTCGTCCCCCACGCGGTTGCAGGAGAGGTCGAGCCACTGCAGGCTCGGCAGGGCGTCCGGGGCCCGGAGGGCCTGCGCCAGCGCGGCCGCGCCCTCGGCCCCCACGCGGTTGCCGGTTGAGGTCGAGCCCCTGCAGGCTCGGCAGGGCGCCCGGGGCCCGGAGGGCCTCCGCCAGCGCGGCCGCGCCCTCGGCCCCCACGCGGTTGTGGAGAGGTCGAGCCACTGCAGGCTCGGCAGGGCGTCCGGGGCCCGGAGGGCCTCCGCCAGCGCGGCCGCGCCCTCGGCCCCCACGCGGTTGTTGAGAGGTCGAGCGTCTGCAGGCTCGGCAGGGCGTCCGGGGCCCGGAGGGCCTCCGCCAGCGCGGCCGCGCCCTCGTCCCCCACGCGGTTGCCGGAGAGGTCGAGCCACTGCAGGCGCGGCAGGGCGACCGAAGTGAGCACCGCGGCCACCTGCCTGACCTCCTCGTCCCCCCAGTCCAGGCTCGTGTACACCAGCAGCTCTGCGGACTCGAAGCGCTGCGCAAACGCCGAACGGTACAGCTCGGCAACCCGCGGGCGATCGTCCTTGCCGTTCGTGAAGCCCTTGCTGTGGAGCTCCGCTTCGAAAGCGTCGGGCAAGGCGGGCGCCTTCCGCCCTGCGGAGCACCTGCGTACCAAGTCCCCATAGGTTGTCTCGTCTCCAGTGGCTTGTCCGAGGTCCACCAAAAGAAAAGAAACCTTCGTCAACATTGCCCATGAGGACTCGCAAAAACACCAACCGCGGTCGAAATAGAGTGCAGTGTTGCCAGATCGGGTGTATACTCCAGGATTGTCGTAGTCATCGGGGAACCGTGTCAGCATGAATACGACTGTGGCAGGGTGGGAGTAGAAACTCCCAAGGCTGCCCAAGGCCTCCTTGAAGAGCTCACCCTCGCGCTCGAAGCGGCCGATTGCGCCGGCCTCAAAGCACTCTGACCCGTCGAGCCGCTGATACGTGCACCGCCGAGGGGCACCCCCGTGATCCCTGCAGTTCTGATGGATGCAGATGAAGTCCATGAACACTGCCCAGCGGCCAGTGACACTAGGACCAGGATCTGCGGACAGCAGCTGCAAAGCCCGGCCCAGGATGCGCAGGTTGTGGCCGTGAGGGTGGGGGTGATCAGCCTGCAACCAGCAATGTGAGACACAAGCTATGTGCAGCAGTGGAAGTTCGCCCTCGCCAGTGGCAGCTTTGACCCCGCTGTGGGGCATGAACGCAACCGGCGGCAAAGCCTGGCGCGGCTCGAGGGTTCCGCCGGAGCCCGCCCGCTCCACCACCCACTCCGCGTCCACCAGGACAACCGCCCCGCTGCCGAGCACGGGGTCGAGCTCAAAGCCGCCGAACTTTTCCCACAGCTCCTGCTTCCGCTCCGTCACCTCCACCTCCTCCAATTCGGGCAGGTGCGGCTGCCGCGGACCCTCCGCGGCCTCGCTGGCCTCCTGCCCCACGGCGCTACCGTCGCAGCAACTCCAGCACAAGCACTTCGCAGCCAGCGCGCCGCCCTCGGGCGCCGACATCTTGGAAGCCGCACGGAGGCCCAGGTGGCCCACCGCACCGCAGCGTCGCGCAGCAGATGTGCGCAACAAGCAGCGGGTCACCAGAGGGTCGAAACTGGGGAAACCAAAGGTACCGATACTGCTGCTCCTCGGACCTCTCCCGGAGTGCGTTCTGACCCAGATTTCGAGGCGAGTCCAGCGGTGGCGACGCGGGCCTCCCAAGAGGCCGAGATAAGGGAAAGCGAGAGAACCGCAATGGTAATGGGCACCTTTTCCTCCTCCGAGGAACTCCCGGTCTCTTGGGCCAGGCTGCGGACCCCCTCTCTCTTCTCGCCCTCTTCCACTCCACGATTCGCCTCCACTCCCTCTTCCTCGCCCCCCCGCCCCCACTCGTCCGATTGGTGCCCCCCCCCCCCTGGCTCGCCCTCGCTCTCAGCGCCCTCTGCTCTCCTCACGAGGCAACGGTTTCGCGGATTGAGACGAGTGGATTCCAAAATGTGGCTCTCGCCTTAGCGCCGCGCGCTTTCGATTTTTAACATTTGCATGAGCTTTACGGATTGAGAGCGGGTGGTTTTCAAAATGTGGTTATCGCATTAGCGCCGCGCACATTCGTTTCGCTAGTTCTAGCTAGGCTTGATAAGCTAACTCATGCCATCTCATGTTGGTCGCTTCTTGCGTCTGGACCTTGAACTCACGTTCAGTAACTTATTTAACCTTGATAACTGACCTGCAGCCATTACATAACCGAATTAGAGGGATAACTAGCATATTAGTAAGTCGCTGACAACACTTGCGGGCCATGCAGAAACATGGGCATAGTAAAGGGTAAAAACACCCTAATCTAAACATTCGCACCCCTCAGTAAACAAGCCCAACCCTTAACGACCGCTGCAAAAGTTAACAACCCCCACGTCCACCCAAATGGCGTCCATACCTGGGGCCTGGACCTAAGGTCTGGACCTGGGAACCAGACCTGGGGCCGTGACCTGAGGTCCGGACCTGAGCCTGAGGTCCGGACCTGAGGTCCAGACCTGAGGTCCAGACCTGGGGTCCAGACCTGGGGCCCAGACCTGGGGCCTGGACCTGCTGGGGTCTGGACCTGGGGTCTGGACCTGGGGCCCGGACTGGAGGTCCGGACCTGAGGTCCGGACCTGGGGTCCGGACCTGGGGCCAGACACCTCGGGCCTGGACCTGCTGGGGCCGGACCTGAGGTCCGGCCCTGAGGTCCAGACCTGAGGTCCGGACCTAGAGTCCGGACCTGGGGCCAGACCTTGGGCCTGGACCTGGGGCCTGTGGTCCGGTCCTGGGGCCTGGACCTGAGGTCTGGACCCGAGGCCCAGACCTGGGGCCCAGACATGAGGTCCGGACCTGAGGTCCGGACCTGGGGTCCGGACCTGGGGTCCGGACCTGAGGTCCGGACCTGAGGTCCAGACCTGGGGCCCAGACCTGGTGCCTGGACCTGCTGGGGTCCAGACCTGGGGTCCAGACCTGGTACCTGGACCTGCTGGGGTCCGGACCTGGGGTCCGGACATGAGGTCCAGACCTGGGGCCCGGACAGGGGATCAAAGCAGTTCTCTTGGGCTGTTCTTGGAGCCTCGTCGGGGTCTTTCTGGGGCCTCTCAGGGATCGGGGGTGTGTTGGGGGCCTCTGGGTGGTCCCAGAGGCCTTTCGGAGGTCTCTGGAAGCCTCCTGCTCCCGCTCTTGGCCCCATCTTGGGCCTGTTCTGGGGTGGTCTGCGGCTGTCCTGGGCGCCTCTTCGGCAGTCTTGGAGCCTTCTTGGCCCGTCTTGGGGCCGTCCTGAGGGTCTCTTGGGTAGTCTTTGGGCGGTCTTGGCAGCCTCGCCGGCGCTCTTGAACGGTTGGAAGCTCGAAAACGCGAGAAGCCAAAATTATAGCCGGAGTGCAGTATCCCCAAACAGGGTTTTTAGACCCACTGCGGTTTCCAAGGTCGATTGCGTGCCCGTCCAGTGCGGGCTAGCATGGCATGTTAAACATGCCTCCTCCTCCTCCTCCTACTCCTCCTCCTCCTCCTCCTCCTCCTCCACCGTGACAGGTTGGCGGCTAACCGACGGTCCCACGCCACTGATTTCCTGGATCTATCGAATGCGTTTGCGTGCCCGCGGCACGCCGAGGATCTGGAGCCGTACGCAGCTCGTGCATTTAGCAATCCTGTTGATCGCAGGCATGTGTGTCAACGTCTGGAGCACGCGTGCACCGTCATCGACGACTCCACAGGGGGGGATCGCGTATACAAGGTGGGCACAGGCACCCTCCCAGGAGATTCGATCGCTGGACCCTGGTTCCTGGCGCCTTACCACGCTTGTCTGGACGAAATCACTTCCGCCCACCCCGACATGCGCGTGTTGTTCGAGTGCCCGTGGGGCGGGAGTGTGTGGAAGGATGTGGGGGAGGACGGATGCACAGTGGACACGTCTTTACAATCATACGCAGACGACTCCAGCAAAACATACCAGGTTTCAGATGCTTTTGACCTCCGTAGGAAATCGCATGGGTATGCCAGGACGTGCACGCGTGTGTTCGCAACACGGAATATGCAACACAATCCCGGGAAGTCTGAATCGTTGGTCAAGTTCTGTGGTGCCAGGGCAGACGAGTACACAAGAGCGGTCTACCAGGAACCATCTATGCTGCCAGGGACTGTCTTGCATGTTGCGCGGTACTTGGGACCACACTTGTCTGCTGGATCTTCCGTGGCTTTCGAACAAGGCAAACGACTCGAGGCGATCCGACGGGGCTATGGGGCATTGGGTAAGTTTTGGGTACGATCGCCACGCCGACTCTGGAGCAAAACAGTGTTCCAATGCATGGTGTCTGGTGCTGGGCTTAGTGGCCTGGACGCGCTTGTTCTCTCCAGTGCAGACACACTGGCGCTGGACAGAGAACTCATCACTCTTGCCCGGAAGGTCATACGAGGAGCCTGCGACAAAATCCAACAAGACGACGGGTCTACAAAATACAGGGCCTGGACAAACGACAGGGTGTGTCGGGAGTTGGGCCTCATACCGCTTGCAGTGTCTCTCCGACAGAGGCGCCTCAAGATGTGGCAGCGTGTTGTCGGGCACCCCAGCGAATACAAATGCCTCATTGCTGCGTTCTTTGGAGATTTGCCCGGAGACGTCAAACCCACCCTCGATAGTGATGGCAAGATGCTCGCGACCGCGCACAGATGGGCCTTGCAGTGGGCTCGTGATATCCAGGCCCTTGCGTTCGCTTCAGGAAGCCATCGCCTTTCGGAGTGTGCCGACCGACCTTTGCAATTATTTCAGTCTCCCGTGTGCCGTGCAGAATTTCTACAACAGGACGTGGGAATATTGTCATCGGATGTGGTGTATTTTGCAGGTGCGCCTCGCTTCTCCTCCACCCCGGCTCCACCATTGCAGCAGCAGCAGCAGCAGCATTCCCCTCAGGAGCAGGAGTACAAACCAGCGGAGCAGGGGGCCGATGGAGGACCAGTTTTGGGGGAGGACGGGGAGGAAGAATGGGAGTGCCGACTTACGTGTGACGACGGTGCCGTGTGTCGCCGCTGCTTCCGGAGTAAACTGGCGATGCGGATGCATCAGATACACAGTCCGCTTGGGGGAGAGCACGGCTACGGTACACTTGCTGCGTCGCTGGCCCGCGTCAATCAATGTTGTGCGTGCCGGGCCATCCATTCATCCGTCAACATTACGAGACATCATCTGCGAAGGAGCTTGCAACGAGGATTCTGCGACGTTCGATGGGAGAGAGGGAATGCAATCTGTCATGAGATCATTGTTCCTCCTCCTTACTCTTGCCGTATCTGCGACGTTGAGTTCGAGTCTGCCACTCCGCTGCTGTGGCATCTGGCTTCTCACTTACCGGACACATTCCAGATCGACTTGGGCGCAGTCCCCGAAGAGTAGCATGGCTGACGCGGCATGGGCGTCCTTCTTGGGCGGAGGTGCCGCCGAACCCCCGCGGAAGAGGCGGGGCGGCGGCAGCGCCGAAGACGGGGACAAGATCAAGGAGCTCTTGTCCATCCTCGTGAAACTGTGCCTCCAGACGAAGCAAGAGGTACGCATGCTCATGGCAGTCGTGTTCATCTGCTTCCGGGTTGCAACGGACAGCATCAGGGCCCCGTAAACCCAGACACTCTAGACCCGGTCACCCAACATGCCTCGAAACCATTTTCTCCAGACGGCGGCACGAGCAAAATACTGCACTGCAACATTTCCAGAATAAACCCGGACACAGGCCCTAAAAGCCTGCAAGACCTCCCAAAACCCGGACACAAACCCGAATCCTGCAGTGTAGCAAACAAAAAAAGCACGGGTTCTGAAAAATGTGACTTTGCAGAAAAGGGTGTCGTGTCCTTGGTTTTCCGTGTCCTGGTTTATCTGTGTCCTGGTCTCCGAGGGCCTGAAGGCGCGAAGCCGTAGCTACTCCGGAATGTCCCCAACTCCGATGACTCGGGGCTCGAATATGGGCAAACCACCCGGAGCCCACAAAGGACGCACGCGCCCAACCATGTACAAGTCGACGGCCCCACAGTCCGCGAGACCAGCCTCGTGATACGAACGCTCGCGCCACGCGCACTCTCGAAACCAGCGTGGCACCATGCACGTGCACGTCCTCTAGTTCGCTCCTGATCGGCGGAGGGCGAGGGGGGGGAAATGAGGAAGAAAAGGCCCTCTCAGAAGGCGGCGGGGCTTCTCAGAAACTCTCGCGCCTTGCTTCTTCGGGGAATGCTCAGAACAAGGCCCAGAGGGAAAGGGGACGTCCGAGCCTTCTGAGAAGGGCCGCCCCGTCTCGCTTCCCTCCCTCGCTCGCCGCCGACCCGAAGGCAGGCCGCGCTTCGCCATTTGCTTGACGAGAAGTAAGGAGCTGAACTCTATACACCGACGCCGTTTCGGGAGCCGCACTGAAGTTTGCACAATACAGCGGATCCTGGTGTATACGGGGTCCTGGAGTGTTCGCTGTTTCCCCAGGAAAGCGGGGGAACAATATCACCACCCCGACGTCGTCCCCGACACTGACCAAAATCCGGGCACCGTCCCCCTCCACGTATCAGTTTCCGACGATCGGGATACAAGGGCCTTGGACGGCCATGTCGGCACCTTGCGAGCGGGGAGCGGCCAGCGAACGCGGCCAAGGATGGGCCGAAGGGGGAGGATGCAAGGGTAACCTTGGGAAGCCGCTTATCATTGCCATGCGGGTGGACTGCCACGTTGGAAAAAGAGGGCGCGCGCATCGGGAACGCGGGCGCGTGCGCGCCATGTCGCGCGGGCAGCTTCCACACGAGTGTCGGAGCAGTCGAGCTCCTCTTTCCGTGCGCCGCTCACCCCCCAGAGTCTGGCAGCCCAAGCGTGTCGGGTGGGGAGCGACAATCAGGAGCCGCGTCCATCCCAGAGCGTTCCAGAGCGGTCTCGGAGAGTCCTGGGACGCGCTGGAGCGATGCACCCTCACCCCAGGCCTGCCTGACGGGGAACCCCGAGAGGACAACAGATCTCGTCCGAGGGTACCACGACAGGCAGGACGCGAGGCTTACCCTTGATCTAGCAGGGGCGGCCACCTAAGCAGACCCGACTGTATCCTGGTGGCCACCACCCCAAAGCTCTGGGGTTCCGCCCCACCCCTCCTGTTCGTCGTTCTCCCCTCCCCCGCCCCCTCCCGGTCTCTTCGACCGCCTCCTCCTTCTCCGCGTGCCCCTGGTCCTGGTCTTCCTTTTTCTTCGGCAGGCCACTGGGCGCGAACACCAGAAGCGTCGGCCTGGTCTTCCTCTGCCCCTCCTCCCGATGTGCTCTTCCACTTGCTCCCCTGAGGCAGAAGAGGGGCTGCGAGACGGAGGAGAGTGGGAAAGAGGACGGAAGAGTGCCGACGGAAGGGGGAGAGGAGGAAAAGGAGGGGAAGAATGATGCTGTTCGTGCCCGGCATCCTCCCCCATCCTCCTGCTCATCTGCCTCCCCGTCCCTTTCCCCTCCCTGTTCGCCTCCTCCTCGTCTGCCTCGCAAGACCGACCGACAAAAAAACGGTCGCCTTCCAGCGGCTGTCCTGACACGTCGACGCCCGGGTACCACACGGAGGCGCTTCTGCCCGCGATTGGTACCTGGTGGAGGAATGCGGCGGCCACGCAGCGGCCCGCCTTCCAAGTCCTCGGCTTCCTCGTCCGTCCTCCTCCTCCTCCTCCTCCTCCTCCTCCTCCTCCTCCTCTCGCTTCCTTGGCGGCGGGCTGGCGGCCCCACCTTGGCGTGCCTCGTCTGGCCCGCCGCAGCGGCCGCGGCGCACGCCCGCCGGGCGCCGCGCCCGGGCTGGGCGAACGCAGGAAGGGCGCGCGGCACGGGCGCTGCTCCGCGCTCCCGAGGACCTCAAGCACCGGGGCTGCCCCCTCGGGTCGGGCGAAAGGGGGGGATAGCAAAGGGGTGGTTTGAGAATCAGCTCACGTAGCTGATTCTCCCGGCGCCTCCCGGCGCAGGAGGCGGCAATGTATCGAAAAGTGGCCCCCTCGGCGAGGCCGAAACCAGCAACATGTAGCAAATTTCGGACCCCCCCCTTTCCCAATGCCCCCCTTTCGTCTGGCCCGACCCCCCCACACGTCTCGCGGTGGCGGAGGCGCTCGAGATCGAGCAGGAGGTACTCTTAGGTCGGGCCTGTCCCGCTACAAAGGGATTTTGGGCGACCATTGAAAGAAAAAGGAGAAGAAACACAAAAAAAAAAAACGCAGACACATGCAGAAAATGATGTCCAAAACTAGTCAAAATATATTCCCCATTTTTGCAATGTTTGAACATTCCCCCTGTAGAGGGACAGGCCCGACGGAAAGCTACTCGACCTTTAGGCGGGCGCTTTGCTTTGCGACGGAGTCCGCCACGAGTGCGGACGTGGTGATGAGATCATTGGTCGGTGCCGCCCCAGGTGACACCGAGGTGATCAGCGGCCACGTGGACCCCACGACCCTGAGGGTGGAGGACCTGATGCTGCGGACCACCTTGGGCGTGGTGACGACAGCGACGACGTCGAAGGCGGCGCTGGAGGCTGGCCGCGCCGATGCCGCCCAGGGCTGGGAGACCAGCGACGAGCAGGCTCGGCTCCTTGACGACGCCGATGCGCTTCGGGGCGGTGCGCCACGGCGCGACGTCGGGCCCCACGGGGGATGGCTGCGCAGCAGGTGGGCGCAGCTGGCCGTGGAGGGGACCTGGGAGGTCTGGCAGCCGCGCTTGACGGTTTCTGACAGGCCCTCGACAACATGGCCACGACAACGCACGTCGCGCCGGCGGCGGCGGCGGCTTCCCCCCATTGCAAACAAATGTAAGCCCCCGGCGGTGTTCGTGGTGGTGGCCACCGCGTTCGTCCAGGGCGAGCTCCTCCTCCTCCTCCTCCTCCTTCTCCTCCTCCTCCTCCTTCTCCTCTTCCTCCTCCTCCTCCTTCTCCTCTTCGTCATCCTCCTGGTCCTTGGCCTCCTTCTCCTCCTCCTCCTCCTTCTGTTCCTCCTCCTCCTCCACCTCCTCCTTCACCTCCTCTTCCTCCTCCTCCCTCTCCTCCTCCTCCTCCTCCTCCTCCTCCTCCTCCTCCTCCTCCTCCTCCTCCTCCTCCTCCCCCTCCTCCTGGGCCATTGCGAGGGCGAGGGCCCATGACCCCGCACAATCGCGTCGGCTCGGCCCGCGCGCTCTGGCTTTACTCACCTCACATCACCTCGTCGTCGTCCTTCCTCCTCGTCCATCCTCCTCCTCGTCCTCCTCGTCCTCCTCGTCCTCGTTTGTTGCACTGTTGCACTGCTGCGTCACAAGTCCACTCGAGGAGCAGAGAGCGACAAAAAAATATGGACGGGAGGCTGGGGCGACGCTTACGGAGACGAAGGAAGGCCGAGACGGAGGGAGGAAAGAGGGAAAGAGGAGACTAAGCGTCGCCGAGGCCCCAGACCCAAAACCCCGCTTAGGCTGGTCCCAGGACAGGGTGGGTTCATTGCTGCTGGCAGTCGGCCTGCTGCGGGGGCCCGGTGCCAGAAGCGTCTGCACTCGGCGTCGCCGTCGGGCCAGGATCAGAAGTCGCAGGGTTGCGGCGATGCACCGCCCTCTTGCGGCTCGACCCCGTGGCTCCACGGCGATCCCGATATCCGCACGAGCCAGCACTCCGATCTTCGCCGTCAAGATCGGGATCACCCTGGCGAAGAGATCCAGGGGCAAAACGAAAAGGAGCTCCTCGAAGGACACGACCCCGCCCGACGACACGAGGGAGGCGTCCTGGGTGCGTAGTTTCTCCGAGGGCCCCCTGTGCTCCAGGTACTGCTCCGCGAGCCGCCAGCCCGCCTCCAGGCCGTCCGCGAAGATGCGAGTCTCCGCATCGGGGCTGAGAGGCTGCCATATGCCAGGAGCAGGCCAGCCCGAGCACTCGTCCTCCACGCCTTCGTCGGTGGGGAAAGCGCAGGGAAGCTGAAATCCCAGCGCTTCCGTGCCAGGCACAGCCACGTTGAGCAGCTGACCATCCAGCACCTCTGCGTGGACCTCGTGGGCGTGCATCTCCCCAAGCCGAGGCCCTGCAGCAGCCCATGCCAGGTCGGCCTCAGAGGCAGCTGCGAATGTCACCGCTGGGATGCGCGCCGCGTGAAGTGCGGCATTCCGGCGCCGCCGTCACACCCCAGGGACCCGGCGCCCGCTGGCCGCGAGCACCAGCGCCGGCCGCGCCGCCCGCTCCCGATCTTGCCAGGAGCCTGGGCGCGCCTCTGCCTGGGCCAGCTTGCGCAGGGCGTTCTCGCAAGCTTGCCTGCATCTCCGCCTGGCCCTTCCTCTCGAAGCCGATCTGCCCAGGGCGGCATCCTCCTGGGAGCGGAGCGAGCTAGGCCGCCACAGAAGCGGGCGGCCACCCGTAGCAGAAACCTTGGACCCCTCCGAGAGCTCCGCCATGGCCACAAGACGCGGCGAAGGGGAGATGGAGAGAGCCGCTCTCGAGCGCAGCAGCAGACGAGAGAGGCCAAGCAAGCACCTGCCTGCCTGGCGCCCAAGGCAGGCTTGAGCCAAAATGGCTACGGACTCCTCGTCCTCGTCCTCGTCCTCGTCCTCCTCCTCCTCCTCCTCTTCGTCATCCTCCTCGTCCTTGGCCTCCTTCTCCTCCTCCTCCTCCTCCTCCTCCTCCTCCTCCTTCTGTTCCTCCTCCTCCACCTCATCCTCCTCATCTTCTCTCCATTTGCTCACCCCGCCCTATCATGCCCCGCCTCCCAGCAGGGCGAGGAGGACGAGGTGGATGGACAGCGGAAGCAAGCAGACGAGCGACGGAGGGACAGGCGCAGACGCGCCGAGTGACAGACGGGCCCTGCGCCCCTCAGTCCGTCCGTCTCCTTCGCGCCTCCCTCCGCTTCTCCACCCTCCCGACCTTCCGGCTTCCTGCTTTCGCTCGTCGCTGCCCTGCTCGTGCTCATTCGTTTCCGTCCACTTCCTCTTGCTCCCATCCTCCCTGTGCTCCCTCGGCAATCTTCATCCTGCTGGCCTCTTTCGTTCGGGGCGCACGGACAGTGGGAATGGAGCAGAAGCGTCTAGTGTCCTCTTCTCCTATTCTTTCTACTTCATTGTCCTGCCCATACGTCCTCCACAATAGCGCAATGCTCCCTCCATGCCGCCCCCTCCTCCCCCTCCATATCATAATCGGCCTATCCTATTCCCGTACAACCCTTTCCCCCAACTGCTCCAACTCATGAATCTCCACGTCCTTGTCCTCACCATCCGTAAAAGCATTCTTCAACCCCTCATGCTGAGCCTCCCGCTCGTCCGCCTCTACACCCCCATCACCGTCATCCCAGGCAAGTCATGCTCCTCCTCCTCCTCCTCCTCCTCCTCCTCCTCAAACAAATCCTCTATACCGATCCCACGTGGAGGGCCGCAGTGGCCCCTATCGTTCGGTTTGCCAAAGAGGTTTGGGGGTCCCATTTGAGGCTGTCCGACCATGTGTTGTCGTTTCGGGTTTTGTGCGAAGCGTGGAAAATCGTTTTATTGATACCCCTGCCCCCTCCTGGCGTCAGGTCCGAGGCCCATTGTAGGCCATGCGTCTTTCCCTAACCAGGATAGGTTGGCACATGCCATCGTGGCACACTCTCATCAACGACTTCGGTGATGGGATCCTGCTCACTTCCACGTCGCCGTCGCTTGTGGCCGATCTGCTCTTCGAGGGGGTGATGCGCACGCACCAGAGGGCGGTAGGTGACAAGTTGGGGACTGGGAGGGTGTGCTTCGATGTCGTGGCCTCAGAACTGCGTCGCTCGGCTCGCACGCCGCGCGATCGAGGATGCATCAGACTGCTCGCTTGCGACGGCACGTGGACTAAGGACCGCGCCATCGAGCGAGGCTACGAGCTTCAAGATAGTCTTTGCCCTCTGTGCGAGGGTGCTCCTGATTCTCTAATGCACCGTCTCTGGCAGTGCCCGTGTGTAGCTGATCAGCGCCTCGAGGCCTGTGGTGCTGCCATTGTCGAGAACGCTGTTAGGGTCATCAGCGAAGGCAGTGACTGTGAGAAGCTGCTGTTTTCCAGGGGCATGTTCCTCCATCCTGGGGATTGGTTGCCGAGGCCCGCTGAGGCTGGAAAAATCGTCCACACTCTTGCTGGAGGACCAGGGGCCGTCCCAGGCGCCGTTGGAGTTTCGGGTGACGTCTTTTGGGACGGTTCGTCCTATAAGCACGTTGTCAAGGAGCTGTCACGGGCGGGCTGGGGATTTGTCTGTGGACCACCAGGGAGAGGTCATTGCCTCTGTCTCGGGGGCGGTGTCAAGGCCGTTTCCCCAGACCTCTCAGGCGGGTGAGAACATTGCCTACGCGGCTACAGCTCAATGCCTAGAAGGGCCCACGACGGGCTATGCGGATTGCCTCGGGGTCGTCCTGGCCCATGATGCGCCCAAGCCTGTTCGTTTCAGTTATAAGAAGAAGTATTCTGGCAGCGCCATTTTCTCCGCCTCTCCCAATTGGAGAGCAGTGAGGAAGGTGAAAGCTCACACTGTAGAGTCTGCCGACATGTCCGCTGAAGATAGATTTTTGATGTTGGGCAACGATGCCGCTGACAGAGCTGCTAAGTTAGGTGCCGCCCTCCATCCGCAGGCCAGTGCGGACGAGAAGGCGCAGGTTGAGCGCATCGTCAAAGTTGCCCGTTCCGTCTGCAGAGTTGCCGCTGCGGTCCTCCCGTGCTGGCCTAAGCTCGATCTCGAAGGTGTGTCGCGTGCCATTCCCATGCCGCCTCCTCCTCCGCTCGAGCCCCTCTTTGACCACCAATGGGAATGGTACCGCAACTGTTGGCGTTGCATTTGCTGTCTTCGTTTCCGTCGCAGCGACGAGCGACCTGTTTTAAGTGGGTGCCGAGGTGAGCCTCCGCCCGCAGTGCAAAGCATGTCGAATTTGGGTCACCGCCTCCTTGCCTTGCAGTGCAGTGACCAGTCGCCGTTGTTCGTTTGTGTCAGATGTAAAGCCTACACCTGTCTCGGACGAGTGCTGCGGCTGAGCGGCCAGTGTGATCCTACCAAGACTGGCCGAAATGATATGGATCGCTGGCGGCTCATGAAGCGTGGTTTTCACCCTAAGCTCAAAGGGGTTACGGTTGAAGCCATGCCAGATATGGATTAGTGAATACCACTGCCATGTCTCTTTCTTTTTCCCTCAGATCACCTGTTGGGCAGTGTTGAATGGAAACAAATCCTCCTCCAACAAATCCTCATGGTCGTCCTCCCTCCTCGTCCAACTCCTCCTCCTCCTCATCATCGTCGTCGTTATCATCAACATCATTATCGCCATCACCATCACCATCCATCCGCCTTCATCATTACCTTCATCAGCATCGACATCACCATCCTCATTACCATCACCGGCCACATCAACAGGTCCATCAGTATCATCAATATTATAAACATCGGCATCGGCATCAACAACAGCATCAATAGCAGCATCAACATCAACATCAACATCAACAACACCATCGTCATCAACATCATCATCCCCACGTCTCGCCCCTCTCTTGTAGTGCGTCTGTTGCGATGCCCAATAACGATCGTTACCCTGGGGGGGGGGCAGGTGTAAGGAAAAGGCCTGGACGGGGTGGGGCACGTCGGGGCGGAGGGTCACTGCGATCGCCATGGTTGAAGGGGAACTGGGACACACAAATAAATACACACAAATAAAAATATCCCCCATATTGTTCCATATCTTCTGGGCTTTTGTCTCCCCCCCCACTTCCCATATTTTCCTATATTTTCTGGGAATCGCCGATTAATTGTGTCTGTGTAATTTTCCCCTCCTGAATGGTACCCGCGCGAGCACAAAAACGTGTGGCAGGGGAGGGGGTCCAGGCCCCCCGACCCCACTTACAGAGAGCCCGTATGATAAGGAAACGCGGCAAGGACGCAGGGGCCTTGGAGGGCCATGCTAACGTTGTTGGACCGAGGTTGGCCAGCGACAGTCGCAAAGGATGGGCTGGAAGGGCAAGGATGCACGGGTAACCTTGGAACAACGCTCATCCTTACTGTGCGGGTTGACCGCGCACTCACATAGGATCGTTACCGTTACCCGGGGGGGGGGCGGGTAACGGCTGTCACGCGCCGGCAAATCCGCTGGCCCCCTTGCGGGGCCACCAGGCTGTAGGCCGGGAATGTGCTGCTCCCTGTACCATTTGCAGCTTCCAGCTTCCACTGTTACAGTTCTGCTTCTTGCTGCTTACTTTTCCTTGTTGATGAACGCGCGAGGGGGGGGGGGCCCAAACCAACAGAACTACCACTCCCTGGGAGGATTCTCAAAATTTCTGGGGGGGGTAAGATTTGACACCCCTCACGCAGATCCGCAGGGTCAGGGTCCAAAAACACAAGGGATTTGCCACATGTTTGAACTTCCAGTGGCACCCCTCACGCAAATCGGCGGGGTCAGGGTCAAAAAACACATGGAATGTTCCACATTTCTCACGTTCGGTGGCACCCCTCACGCAGATCGGCGGGGCCAGGGTCCAGAAACACACGGCATGTGTCACATTTCTCAAATTCGGTGGCACCCCTCACGCAAATCGGCGGGGCCAGGGTCCAGAAACACACGGGATTTGCCACATGTCTGAAATCCGGCGGCACCCCTCATGCAAATCGGCGGGGCCAGGGTCGAAGAACAAACAGGTCCCGACGCTGCTTCACGGCGGCGCCCAGACCTCGTGATTTAGCTTCTGCATCTCGCATTATTCGGGCGAAGAGAACTATACACATGCACCGATCCTGGCAAGGCCCATCCTTGACCCAGGATCGGTGCATATACCTTCCTGGCCAAGGTAGAGGGCGCATGTACCCATCCTGAGCTCGGGATGGGCCTGGCCAGAATCGGTGTATGTGCATTGTTCTCTTTCCTCTAAACATCCGAGACAAAGGGCCGGCGGCATGGGTTGAGAGCCCTTACGGAGAAAACGACAACGACCCGTTTCCCGCTCCTCCTCACGCTCCGCACGCCTGCTCCGCACACCGCCTCGCTCTGCGATTTGGCCCTCTGCGACTCGCCTTCCCGTTCCTCCGCAGACCCCTCCAACGCCGCCCTTTCCCGCGCCTGCTCCCCAACACTCCCCCCCCGCCCCGATCCGCAGTGCGGCGACCTGCTACAGAAGATGCCTGGTGACGTGCCCAATGGGGCAAACTGCGAGTTGGAATACGTCGATGAACATAGAATGATTGCCGTCTTTGGCCATCACACCCGTATCATCCTCCTCTTGCTCAGTCTGTAAAAAATTTGGCTGACCGCTCAATTGTCCGATCGAGAGCGCAACCATGCGACAATCCGCGCCACGCCCGATGCTGAGCACTCTGTCTGAAGGGGTATTGTTGTTATTTGTGTGCAGATAGTCGTCTGTGTTGTTACACGCTGTCCTCGTTTCCGTCCCCATTGGTGGGGCGAGCAGCTCTTCCAGTCGCCTGGCCGGATTTGCTGGCTTGCTTTTGGCCCAACCTACCCGAATCGACTACCGCGATCACTGGCATCATCAGGATTGGAGAATGATGCGAGAAGGAATGAGATCCTCTGTTCAAAATACATGCGGGGCAAACGCGTTGCATGACTGACGAGACATATTGGTATTGGAGACAGCACCTCACATGAGATGAGGGGGGAAGACAAAAGGACAACGATGGCCAAGAGAAGGACGGAGTTCAAGAGAGCAGGGGGGCAGCATGCAGGCGAGGACGAACACGATGACAAGAGATACGACCACGACGATAACAACGACGACAGAAGTAACATCTCGATGCAGGGCGAGTTGATACAACGGCAATTCAAAATCGATCCACAGACCAATCCCAAGATCTAAACGTGCTAATTTCCCAAGATGCGTCCAGCCGTGGCGACGAGGGGGCCTGACGAAGGTGAACGTTTTCTTATTCGGCGTTGCGACATTGGACGGAGCGGGGGGGAGGGAGGGGATCGATCTGGCTCTAGCCCTCTGCTTGATGCGACTGTCTGCAACAGGGCGGCCGTTATGAGGGAGACTCCATCTGCTCGAAAACAGGCGCCAAGACAAGCCAGGATCTACTCCATTCGGGGAGGGGGGGGGTGTGCGGGGGTCCACGCCGATCGGCAAAACGATGAGTAAGAAAACGACCACAAGGCCAGCCAACGTTGTCTCAACTGGCCCTCCTCGGAACACCGACCAGGGCGACGACAACGAAACCACGACAACGACAAGACCACGACGACCACGACCAGGGTCTAAACGAGCCACTTTTCCGAGATGCGCCCAGCCGTGGCGACGTGGGGGCCGCCCGAAGGCCAAATATAGAAGAAGAAACAACAACATAAACATAAACTTTTGCGCTCCGCGCGGATTTCTTGAATCTGCGCTGGACCCCCTGTCTGGCGCCAGGGGCGGCGCTGGAGGCGCCACCGGGGGTCCCAGCGCGGTCATGGTGATTTTCCTCATCCGAAACCACCGTTCTCAACTGGCCCTCCTCGGAACAACGACCACGGCGACGACGACGACCACGACCACGATTAGGTTGGGCATGTCCCCCTACACGCGGACCTTGGACGACACATTTTCAAGAGAACAAAATACGCTCCAAAATGGCCAAAGATCATCAAACAACGTCCCCAGACTACCTTCTACTTCCTGACCATTGCTGCCCACTCCTTAAGGCCACGACGAGAAGCCACGCAGACCAGAGAGCCCCAAAAGAGCACGGCGCGCGCGCCGCGCGGCGCGGCGCGGCGGCGGCCTCCGTGTAGCACACCCGCCGCTGCCCGCCGGCGGCGGCCGCGCGGCGGCACCGGCGCCCCGCCGGCGAGCTCCGGCGGCGAGCCCGCGCGCTCCTGGTGTGCCAGGAGGGGGAAGAGGAGGAGGAGGAGGAGGAGGAGGAGGAGGAGGAGGAGGAGGAGGAGGAAGAGGAGGAGGAGGAGGAGGAGGAGGAGGAGGAGGAGAAGGGAGGAGGAGGGAGGAGAGAGGAGGGAGGAGGGAGGAGGACAAGCGCGTTCCACTACTCGCAGAGTCACTACTTGCAAATGGCCTGGATCCGCCATGGGGGCTTTACGATACATTGCGTCGACGCAATTATCTGCTTTTTGTGGACGTTTGCGAGCAGGCACTCTGCGGGCAGTGGAACGCGCACGGTGATCCTGCGTGCCGGGAGCTTGGCCACGCGCCGCCGCCGCCTCCGTCGGCGCCGCTGCCGTCAGCGCCACCGCAAGCGCCGCCACCAGCGTCGCCGCCCCGCCGCCGTCAGTGTCCAACAAATTAGGTCGAGACTTCGGGGTAACCTTCTCTGCCCCGCTGACCAGGCCATCCGCGCCAAATCCGAACCCCCTCGATGCCGTTTCGAGCATTTCGAGGCCATTTGATGCCATTCCGAGGCAACCCCGGAGGCCACTCCAAGGCCACCTGGACGCCGATGAATGATGCAGGAAAAAGATAAAGGATACCCCCCACATCGTCTAGAAAAGGATGTCTGATAATGAAAGCGGCAGAGATTGGCACGCCAGAAATGGGTACGGACAAAAATGGGCACGATGCCCAACAATGTCTTTCGAAAACCGACAGGAGGCCGCTGTTTGGCAGTATTGGTCTCAGATGAACGTCCGCGGCAGCGCCGAAAACGATTTCTGCTCAGAATGGGCCGGGACTGCTGTTGGTCATCAGGCCTGGAACATCGCTTACCAAGAGCAGGCCCTCGTGGAGAGCCCCGCGCGGACGAGTCAGGATCGGCGGGGAGCGAGGTGGAAAGAGAGGAGAAGGTCTTCTTGGAAATTTCTCGTGAGCCTTCCCTGAAGACACAAAAGACTCCCGAGAAGGCGCGAAGGCTTCTGAGAAGCCCCGCCGCCGTCGGAGAAGGCCTGCTCCTTCCCACTTCCCCCCCTCGCTCGCCGCCGAGAAGAGGAGGAGGCCTGGGAACAGCGCTCACCCGGTGCACGCCCCCATGGAGAGCCCCGCGCGGAGGCGTCACGAAGCGCTGACCGGCTCTGGGACCTCGTGGCCCTCGAACCTCCAGGCCGCGTCGCAGCTGCCCCACGTCCACGGCGCCGCCCCGGCCGAGCCGGCCCCGGGCTGCTCGTGGAGGAGGCAGCAGCTGCCCGAGCATCAGTGCTCTCACGGGCGGCGCACGCATCCACAGCCGCGGCCCCCTCGGCCCGGCCTCCGTGCCTGCTGCCGAGCGGAGGCGCGGTCGCCGGGACGCGCTCCGCGCGGGGCAGCGCGACCGCGCCTCGCGTCCGCGGGGGGCGCGGGCCCGGGGCCCCGCCCCGCGGGGCCGCGGACCCAGGGTGCGTGTCTTCGCCGCACGACTTCCCGAGGCCCGCGCGGGTTGCTTGGATCGGCGCGCAGCCTCCGTCCCTGGCGTTGCGGAGCGCGCCAGTGGCGGCGCTGGGAGCGCCTCAGGGGAGTTCCAGCGGGGATCCCAGAAATCCTCGCGGGCCTTCGAAAGTTTGATGCTGAAGCAGCTTTTTACTCCTCCAAGCTCGACCATGGCCCAGAAGCTCGCCCTCACGCTCTCGGGCACGACGGAGTCCTGGACCTCTCTCCTGGGGGAACCAAAGAGTACCCGATGGCGCTGCTCCCCAGACCTCTCCAGCGGTGCGTCCTGACCAGGAGTTCCAGGCGAATCCAGGCGTGTTGACGAGGGCCCACCACAGGGGTCGGAGGATCGCGCCGCATCGCCGATGTATCGCCGATGCATCGGCGACCTTGGCGATGCCTCGGCGCCGTCGGACAGAACAAATCGGGCTCCACATCGAGCCGCATCGCAGATGCATCGGCAACGCCGCGCGATCCCCGGACGCCATCTGCTTCGGCCCCGTCCGGGAAGCCTGGATCCCAGTGGGCACCAAAAAAGCAACAACGAGGGAACAGTTCGGTGATGCGGTGTGGTTTGCAACCCGCGCTTGGGGAGGAGGGGGCGGGCGGGGACCTCGACAGATCCCATGCCGCGCCCCGACGAGGGCTCGTCAGACCTTTGGCGCAGCGTGGGGGCCCCCATAAGCCCAAGCGGCGCCGATCGCACACAACACACCTGGTGTAACCACACCCCGTGTAGCCGCCAAAAAGGTAGCGATATCGGCACTTTGTCCTCCTCCGATCTCCGGTAGCGCCACCTGTACAGGTCGGTGCCGAATGCCACGCGGTGGACCGCGGCCGCGATGGCCGCGTAGTCTCGCGGAGCCGGCGCCGACGCGCAGGCACTGCTGGCGGAATCGGCCGCTGCCGGAGCTGCGAGCGCGCACAGGGCGGCCTGCATGGCGTACGCGTCGTCGTCATCATCATCATCATCATCATCATCATCATCATCATCATCATCATCATCATCATCATCATCATCATCATCATTCTCATCATCATCAGCATCATCATCATCATCATCATCATCATCATCATCACCAGCAGCATCATCATCAGCATCAGCGTCACCACCATTATCATAATCATCACCATCTGCATCATCATTGTCGTCATGCTCATCGCCAGCATCAGCATCAGCATCAGCATCACCATCATCATCATCAACATCATCAGCATCATCATTACCATCACCATCACCAACACCATCATCATAAGCATCATCATCATCATCACCATCACCGTCATCATCATCACCATCATCGCCATCATCCACCACTACCACCACCATCACCACCACCACTAACATCATCACCATCATCAGCATCACCACCATCATCCTCAGTATCAACAGCATCAGTACCAGAATCATCATCATCACCACCACTACCATGATCATCATCACCATCGACATCGTAATCAGCATCGTCATCAGCATTATCAAGGTCACCATTATCAGCACATCATCATCATCATCATCATCATCATCGTCATCATCATCATCGTCATCAAAAGATCCTCATACACGTCGGTCTTAGGACGTAGGCAGAAACGTAAAGTAGGACGGCGGTTTCAGTATATTGGGTGCAGGCTTTCACAGAGAATAGCAAAACACAGCAAAAACATATCGGTTCTAGAGACAGGAATGCGCTTGGACCATATGAAGATCTGGATATCCAGAATACATATCAACGACCGACTTGTAATCGTCATCCTCATGCTCACCACTATCATCCTGATCATCCTGATCATCAGTATCATCATCATCATCAGCTTTATCATCATCATCATCGTCACCATCACCAAGTATCATCATAATGGCGATCGTCATCATCGTCCTCGTCCTCGTCATCATCATCATCATCATCATCATCAGCATCATCATCATCATCATCGCGGTGGTCATCCTCGCTCAACATTCAGCATCAACATCAGGGTCAACACCAGCACCAGCAACAACAGCCGTATCATCATCAGCATCAGCATCAGCATCAGCATCCTCATCCTCATCCTCATCCTCATCCTCATCCTCATCCTCATCCTCATCCTCATCATCATCGTCAGGCGGCCTGCGTGGCGTAGGCGACCAGCGCCTCGTCGAAGGGCGGGCAATGGCGGCACGCGAAGGCGGCCAACCGGCGCCAGACCTCAAAGGAGGGCGAGTCGAGACCCCGGCAGTCGGCCTTCGGGGGGGGGGCCCTCGCCGCCACGCCTTGACGCCACTCGGAAAACTGGTTGGTGCGCCTGCACTGCGGGAGTCGTCCGCGGACGGACTCTGAGCTGCCGGTTTCCCACTGCGTCCTGCTCCCGGCTGTTGTCGTGGTGGCGGTCTCCCTCGTCCTCGTTGTCGCTCTCGCCCGCAGGCCTTCTCCCACTGCTCTCTCGAACTCCGTCCCTCTCTCGAACATCAGTGCTCTTTTTGTTCGTCTTCCCCTCTCATGTCATGTCCTAGGGTGCTGCCTCGAATCTGTCCCGTGAGATGTGCACCGCGTTTGACCCGCATGTAGCGCGCGCAGAATAGGCACGCCCGCAGTAGCTACCAAAAAAATACGATGAACAACATCAAGCTGACCAACACAGACAATGGTCGCTGTTGGGCAGGCGAGCTTGTGTCTCAAATGTAGAACGTCCGCGGCGACACGGACAAGGAATCCTGTTCAAAACAAACAAGACAAACTGTCGGTGTTTCCGTATCCATTTCGATCGTCCCGACAGAGGGTCGCTCTGCTTGTCATCGGAGGTTGGGGGTGAGATCGCAGGGGAACGGAGATCCCCAACCGGGAAATCGTTTCGTTTCGTTCGGGTCGTGCGGGCGGGAGAGGCGAAGCTGCGTGGGCGCGCGAGAGGAATTAACCCGCCGCTGCTAGGGCAAAGTCAAGACAAATGATTCTCCCCCTCCCGCCTGCCCGTCCGGCGGTGTCCCGCGGTGTCCCGTGGTGTTCCGTGGTGACCGCCGTTGGTAGGGCGGGATCAAGACGAATGATTCTCCCCTTCGCCCGGCCGTCCGGCAGTGGCTCGCGGTGTCCCGCGGTGTCCCGTGGTGTCCCGTGGTGTCCGCCGCTGCTTGGGCAAAGTCAAGACAAATGATTCTCCCCGCCCGCCCGTCCGTCCGTCCGTCCGGCGGTGGCTCGCGGTGTCCCGCGTTGTCCCGTGGTGTCCCGTGGTGCGAGATCGATAGTGAGATCGATACTGAGATCGATGTGGTGCCCCGAGGTGTCCCGTGGTGTCCAAAAAACAGTGAGATCGATAGTGAGATCGATAGCGAGATCGACAGGTGTCCCGTGGTGTCCCGTGGTGTCCCATGTCCCATGGTGTCCCGTTGAGTGAGATCGATGGTGAGATCGATGTGGTGCCCCGAGGTGCCCCGTGGTATTCTATGGTGTCCCGTTGAGTGAGATCGATCGTGAGATCGATAGTGAAAACGATAGTGAGATCGAGAAGTGTGCCGCGGTGTCCCGTGGTGTCCCGAAGTGGCCCGTGGTGTCCCGTTGAGAGAGATGGATAGCGAGATCGATAGTGAGATCGACAAGTGTCCCGTGGTGTCCCAAGGTGTCCCGTTGAGTGAGATGGATAAAGAGATCGATAGTGAGATCGACAAGTGTGCCGTGGTGTCCCGAAGTGTCCCATTGAGTGAGATCGATCATGAGATCGATTGAGTCAGATGTTGGTTCCCCCCCTCTCCCCCCCCCACACACCCTCCTTATCACCCGGAGGGTGGTCGTGTAGGTATCCTCATCCAGTTTGGGCCATCTCATTGCTCCGAAGGACCTGCAGGGCGTCGGCCCACCGCTGCATCTGCATGAGCGCCAGCGCCTGCACCACTCGCAGCTCCTGGGCGTCCTTGCCCAGGACCACCGCCGAGCCCCCGGACTCCGCGCACCCGCTCGGACCGCCCTCCTCCTCCTCGCGAGAAGGAAACTCGGAGGCTCGGGGCGCTTGGAGGGCTCGGAGGGCTCCGGGAGGGGGAGGAGGAGGAGGAGGAGGAGGAGGAGGAGGAGGAGGAGGAGGAGGAGGAGGAGGAGGAGGAAGAGGAGGAGGAAGAAGAGGAGGACAAGGAGGAGGAGGGTTCTCCGAAGGAAACTCGACGACGTGGACATAACCCAAGAATCTATTCGGCCCCCAGGGGGCCCTCGCTGGGCCCTGGGGCCGTCAGACGAGGCTCGGGATAAATAGCTGGAGGATCTGCCCGGGGGGTCCCAGCGCTGATCCAAGGAATCGGCGCGGACCTCTGAAAGCTGTTGCCGGCGCTGGGTTTAAGAGGAGACGTCCAAACCCTACCCCCACCAACCATCGATTCTGCTGCATGGATGGGAGGCGAGGGCATAAGGTCGGAAATTCGGCAACGCGTTCGACGAATACCGAACCGCCGCTCATCGAAAAGCCCGGATCGTTGATCTGCGAGGGCGAGCTGCGGAACTCTCCGCCGGTTGATGTTGCTTTGTTTCATGTTCTTGGCGGCGTGCACAAGGTGGTAAGGGGGAGGGGGGAGGGTTCTTGGAACGAGGGTGCTTCTCTTCTTAGAAGGCGCTGGCTTCAGATCTACAGACAAGGCCCGCGCCTTCCAAGAGAAGCAGGGGTGCATTTAAGAAGCCTCCCCCCCTCCCCCATTATCCCCCTCTGCGCGTGGCTGATGTTCGCTCCTCGCCCTCGTCGTCGTCGCCCATCTCGCCTCTCAGGGCCGCCTCCACCGCCTCCACGCGCTCGGCCGGCGGCAGCAGCGACAGGTTGGCTTGGACCTGGGAAGCCCAAAGAGGTATGTAAATTTGTCATATGACTTAGGGTCTTCCCGTCACTTTCCCATTTGTGTTCATGGAGACCTGCGTCTTGGTTTGCGTCTGTGCCTGTGTTTTTCACTGCAACATATACTGAATCATGTGGATAAGCGACTTTTGAGCTCGGCCCACGGAGCGACGGCAATGCCGGTTGGTCCCCGGGCCGTCTGGAGGGCCAGGGGGGCCCCAAGGGCTGACAACTCGGAGCGGAGGGTTTGGCGAGACGTGGCCATCCCACGGCGACCCCAGGCGCTCCCAGAGCACCTGATTGCGCCCATGACAGACAACCAAGACCTCGATCGACGGAGGCGGCTCGCAATGCGGATTGCGATTCGACGGCGTCGTCGTCGTCGTCATGCGTCGTCGTAGTAGTAATAGTCGTATCAATAACAGAAACAGTCGCAGTAGTAGTAGTAGTAGTAGTAGTAGTAGTAGTAGTAGAAAAAGTAGTAGTAGTAGTAGTAGTAGTAGTAGTAGTAGTAGTAGTAGTAGTTGTAGTGTGGTAGTAGTAGTATTAGTAGTAGTAGTAGTAGTAGTAGTAGTAGTAGTAGTAGTAGTGATAATCATAATCATAGTACTGGTGGAAGGTCGTAGTAGCAGTAGTAGTAGTAGTAGTCGTAGTCGTACTTGTAGCCGTCGTACTAAAAGGAGAATTAATAATAGTAATAATACAAATCGTACCAGGAGTGGTAGTAGTGGTAGTAGTATTAGTTGTAGTAGTAGTTCCATGGGCAATAGCAGTAGCAATAGTAGTAGTCGTCGCCGTAGTAGTAATAGTTTATAGCAGAAGAAGTAGGAGTTCTAGTAGCAGTCGTAGTAGTATTCGTTGTAATAGAGATACAAATAGTCAAACTCGTAGCCGCACTTGAAATATTACTAGTGGTAGTAGTACTAGGTCGTAGTAGTAATGGTCATGGTAATGGCAGTGGTAGTAGTAGTAGTAGTAGTAGTAGTAGTAGTCGTAGTAGTAGTAGTAGTAGTAGTAGTAGTAGTCGTAGTAGTAGTAGTCGTAATTGCGTAGTAGTATTAGTAGCGATGCACGTAGTAGTAGTAGTAGTAGTAGTAGTAGTAGTAGTCGTAGTAGTAGTAGTAGTAGTCGTAGTAGTAGTAGTAGTAGTAAGAGTAGTAGTAGTAAAAGTAGTAGTAGTAGTAGTAGTAGTAGTAGTAGTAGTAGTAGTAGTATTAGCCGGAGTAGTAGTAGTAGTAGTAGTAGTAGTAGTAGTAAAAGAAAAAGGGGTAGTCGTCGTAGTAGTAGTCGTAATACAAGTACTCGTAGTAGTTGTAGTAGTAGGTTTGGTAGTAGTAGCCGTTGAAATAATACCAGTGGTCGCAAGCGCACTCGTAGTCGTAGTGGTGATCGTAGTAGCCGTCGTAAACGTAGTAGTAGTAGTAGTAGTAGTAGTAGTAGTAGTAATAGTAGTAGTAGTAGTAGTAGTAGTAATAGTAGTCGGAGTAGTAGTAGCCGTAGTGAACGTAATACTAAAGAACTAGTAGTCGTAGTAGTAGTAGTAGGAGGAGGAGTATTAGTAATAGTGGTGTCCGTACAAGT